CACGGCTCTTGTGCATACACGTTCGGTTTTCCTGGCCACCTGAAGGGAAGGGGTGACCCAGTGAACTACCAGCAGTCTTCAGCTGCTGAAACATCTTTGCCCTCCCAGGTTCTCCCATCAGCGTTAACACAGTCGGCAGACGTTCAGATGATCAGCGCTTGTGGATCCCGTCATCGCTGCATCTCTGAAGAGATTCAGTTGTCTCAGACAAAGTGGAGAAGCTTGTCCTGAGGGATGCTTTTGTTCTGGGAGCCAGCGGCACCCACACTACTGGCTTCAGCCATTGTAGGTCTGTAATCTTAAAAGAAGGAGGGGGGATCTACACCAGCAACTCTCACAAAAATTAGGCGTATTTAAAATACAGCTTTTTCTTCCTGGTTTTGTAGCTGTGCTAGAAAGTCATTACACATGGATTTATTTTTCCTTATCTTATGGATTATCATCGGCTTCCTTCCTTCCTTCCTGGATGAATTTATCCACTCTTCTGATTGCAGCTCCACTTTTTTTATCACCTCCTGTCTATGGGGCTTAAGATTTTGTATGTTTAACATAATTGAGCTGAGTATTTTGCAGCAATTGACAGTGAAGATAATTTTCCACCAATTGATGGGTTGGTTGTGGTGAATCTTTTTGCAATCTACTCACTTTGTCTATTTGCTGTTTTGGTTACAGATCTGCTTTATTTTATTCGTCCTTGTATTTTATTTCTTTTTTTTGTCCTTGTATTTTACTGTGTTTTTGCAACTGAGTTACGTATTAATCTGACTTTGGAGAGGGGAAACGGAGACATTTTAGTTTTTAAGGAACTTCCACAGAGATTGAGACAGCTGGTCAAAGATAAATCCAGTACGCAAACAGGGTCACGAATGTCTTAGAAAACAGCCGTTTAAAGTACTAGGACATCAAATATCTCTTTAGTCTCCTTCATTGGACTGGGCTTTGAATTTGATTGTAGGGTATTGATTATTTCTGGTCTCATGTAACAATTGCACAGGGAACAGGGAGGAAACAGAAAGAAATATTTCAGGTAGGTGTTAAAGGGAAAGTGGTATTACTTGGTTTTAAAACAAACCAAATCTGTAAGTTGCATGAGACTGCGACTGACAATGTCCTGCAGGCGCTGATTGTTAGAACTAGGACATCATCATCTTTCCAGAGCTAAACTGCTTTCTTCAGTGTACATGGGGTGTGGGGAGAGTTCGATATACCTAGGATGTGATAGTTAAACTATGAGGAATTTTTTTAAGGCTTTTCATGAACTAGGAAAATAAACATTTTTACCGAAACATCTTAAATTTCGTTATTAAGGGCAATTGTATTTTAGTGTGTGTTAGCTGGCTGACATTTACTCTGCACAAGTTTGAAAGCATTTTGTATCGAAAATGCATCTGCCTAAAGACATATGCCAAAGAGTGAATCCTGTACGAGTCACATAGTGCTGTTTTGTTTTGGTCTGCGTATACTCTTCCTTAACAATGGATGGATTTTCCACTAATTATTATTGAAATGGGACATTTTTTATTATAAAATCGGTATCACCACAGCTTTACATCACAATGATGGTGATGTGTGATGTAGAACAGTTTGGGTTATTTCAGTGCAGGTGTCTACATATGCCAGCTACTATAGCACATTAATCAATTTTTTGAAAAATAACCCTTTTAGAAGTTATATAGACAAGGCCTGACTGCTTGCCTGAAGAAAGATGATAAATTAATTTAAATATTAAAGACCAGTTGAGGTGATTAATTTTTAATTAAGACAATGAAAAACTGGTTTTGCTTCTATTCCTGGAACACCCTTTCAAAAGCTTTGCTTTTCCGAAATTGTTTTTTTCCTATGTGTGTGGCACAGGATGTGACTTGGTTCACAGCAGGTAGGTTCATTAGTTGGCATTTCTGGTATAATATCCAGCTGTGGAAAGCTTATAAAATACTGGTATTTAGGTCATCTTAATTACGCCTCAAAACAAAGATTTGAGATAAAGTGGAATAATTGCACATACCTCATGGTGGCTGAGATTCTTCCGTGAAAAGAGGGTGCAATTCCTGGGCACTGTGAACTGATTTCAGCAGAGCTGTTGCAGCTCTGCTTCGTCGGTGCTCCTGTGATTGTACAGGGAGCCGAACCGATTAAAACTAATGATTTTGAGGAGAGTTTTGATTTGATTTGATTTTGAGAGGCAGTTTTCAGCTGTCTTGGGTGCTGGACTGGATATCTTCACTCTCACTGCTACCGATGCCAGCACAGGGAGGGGATTGGGCTGGGGCAGCCCCCATTTATATCACTGCAGGCTTCTGTGTGACCCATGCTTCTTCATTGCTGGTATTGGGGGGGGGTTATTTGCTTTCTGCCTTCCTTCCTTCCTGGATGAATTTATGCAGTCATGCTTATGTTCACACTAGTTGAGAGGGAGCTCAAGTATCAGTCCTTCACTCCCAAGTTTGAATGAGCAAAGAGCTTCCCCCCATCTTTGTGCAGACTCACTTGCAATGTTAGGTCCCCAAAATACTGCAAAATCACTACAGTTGAAAATCACTGTTGGCTCTTCTGTGCCAAGAGGGGTGGCAGTGATTCCCATCCAGGCTGTGTTGCATTCAAGGTTAGCAAGCAAGAACCAGGAGGCAGCATCTCTGGTGCTGGGTTTGAGAAGTTGTGATCAGCAAGGGAAATGAGAGGAATCTGAACAGTCATCAGGCAACTGGATGACCAGCCTTTGAAGCTGCCGTGGAGCCGATGAAGTGCAGTTGCGTGTATTTCTGCTAACAGATGCATCTGCCTTAATAACAGATGCAAATGTAGGATCTTCAAATCCATCTCTACCAAGCCATTGGCAATGAAGTTGAGGTTGGTGCATAACTTTGGGCAAGGAGAGGCTTGGGGGAGGGTCGCAGTGCTGGCTGGAATATGCATCTGGTGCTGTACAAGAGCCGCACGGCATCTAACAGACATCTAGGGGAAACACTGTGTGACTAGTTTGATAAATTCAATACGAAAAAGGTGGCACGGTTGCACTGTTGTTTATCATCTAACAACACCCTAAGTATGCTTTTGGTGTAACATCACAAGATGGGAGGGTACCATCATTTAAGTGTGTTATTAAGCTAATGATGTATAAAGAGGTATTAAAAAGCAACAGCTATCATTTTCTATATCAGCAGTACTGGTGGTTGAAACTTCCAACGTTTGTTTATTGGCCAGCATAACTGAAAATGGGGTGGGAGCCCCTCCTGATCTGAATTTCTCCCTATAAGAGCATCTCTGTGTCCTCTGACTGTGGATGGAGCCGAGGGAGCGCCCGTGGGTGCAGGAGACAGATGTTTAGTCTCTTCTTCCATGTCCGCACCAGGAAGTTCAGCACATCCTGAAATGCAGACTTGATTTTTTCTTAGCATTTTGAAGGTGTATCCTATCTTGCACCAGATCTTCTAAAATTCTAGTTTAGACAAAGCCTGAGGGGATTTAGGTTTGCATATTTTCCTAAGAGGATTACGCTTCACACTTAGTTGCTCTATAAATTGTTTGAAGGTTTTTTATGATTTTCTAAGTACACAAAAAGCCGCATACGCATTCAGACTGTCCTGAAATGTGTTGATTGGGGGTTAGCGATAGAAATCTGGTGTTTGAACTAGTAGTAAACTGAATCACTGAATCTCAGGGTTATTCTGAACTGAAAAGCATTTTGGTAATCAGATTTGCAGCACGGCTGCAGGAACAGTTGTAGCAGCACAACTGGAGGGGCTAGCAAATTGCAAGAAGGATTAGAAGCTGCTTACGCTGACATCAGAGAAAACAATTTATCGTGAAAATGCAGCCCAGGAGTAAATTAATGAGCACCCTTCCAAGCACGAGGGTGCTCATCACACATTGAGATTCTAGAAACTCGTTACTTGCAGATCAAGGGAGTAAGGCAGCTCAGTGGGAAGGGTATTAAGGTAATTGGGAAAGAAATAGTGGTAGTCTATGATGACTTCTGTCATTTGAGTTCGTACTCGTAAAATCACCGGCGAGGTATTGTACACCTCCGCGGTGGCCCCTAGGAGCCGTGGGTGCCGACACCCCTCATGGTAGCCGGGTGCTGCGGCCCAGCGCCTTCGCTCCGCTGGCTGTCGCAGCTGTTGAACACCCACCAACGGGCTTAATTTCTCGTTATGTGCCTGCAGGTGGGCTGTATTTACGGTGGGGTTTGGAGGGCTGGGAGCAGCTCCTTGTTTTGTGCTGCCGTTGGGCTGTTTGGAGGTGGTGCAGCAGCAACTGCTGCTAGAACCAAGCTTGTACCTGGGCTTCTTCCCTGCCCGCTAGAAGGTTGGAAACTTGAAATGCCAAGATTTCCTTACTTCATTTCACTGAAGGTGGAGGAGGGGTCTGACTCGGTCATAGGAAACTGGCTTAAAACAGGACTAAACTCATTTGTGCTGCTCAAAGGGATGGTCAGAGCTCCCTTTTAAATTGCTGGTTTGTGCCCAGTGCTGCTGGCTCCGTCGTCTTTCTTCAGTTGCTCCTTTCAGGAGCGATGAGATGGACATCACTGAATAATGAGTGGCATTTATTTGGTGAAAAGGGCGAGGGGCAAAGAGAAGTGTCTCCTGTGGCAGTGTGAATGACAGGCAGTCTCTGTGGGTCTACGTCTGTGTTATCTTATCAAAGAGCTGTACTTGTAGTGTTGCAAGCTACACTACAGCAAATGTGGGACTGGTGTTAGGTGGGTGTTAAACCCTCGAAGGAAGGAGAACCTGAAAGCACAAACTGAGGAGGAGCTGGTGGGAAGTTTCAACTTCTGTTCTGCTGTAGAAGCTTATATGGAGTGAGTTTGCTTCTGGTTGGAATCAGATAGATGTAGTAAGATAAGCAGAATAGAACAAAATGTATTAATATCCAAACTTACAGCTTGTCTGTAAGTGATCGGTGGTTTGAGAGCTTTTCTAAATAACAGCTCTGAGGACTTTCACATGACCTCTAACCCACGGTAATCTTCTGTGTTCTGTTTTCTCTGCAGACGTCGGCTGATCTCCCAGCGATCTTCTCTGGAGACTCTGGAGGACATCGAGGAAAATGCCCCACTGCGGAGGTTATTTTATTTACTCTCTCTCTGGTTGCTTGTCTGTAAGGCACATGCACGGACAGACTTGCTGTCCCTGCGCACGTTGGAAAGTAGCTGGGTTTTTCCACATTAAGATCTTCTTCATAGTGGGTAAAGTAAAACCTCGTGCACCCTGCAGGGTAGTAGGTGACATGAATTACACAGTCCCTGGCTTTAGGTTATTAAATAAAAAGTCAGTATTTAAATAAAGTGTCAGGAAATAAAATGTCGGATTTGATTAACAAGAGTTTAGCTGTCACTAACAGGAGTGACTAGCCTCTAACGTACTTTAAAAGGTAAGTACAGCTGGTTTAATAAAGTAAGCTTTTTAAGGCTAGTGTTTTTAGTATTCCTATCTTTTATGGATTTTTTTTGTTCTCTCAGCACACACAGTCTTCTTTCGGTGACCAGCATTAATGCCTTTCTGTGTTGGCTGGTAGGTTCATGACTGCTACCTCACTAATAAATCTGCCCCCATCCTTGTTATATTGGCAGCTTCAGTGCAGTTTTATTTCTGCATCCAGGAGGTCACAGCTTCTCTGGGGACTGCAGTAATTAGTCACTAGGCAGTCCTCTGGGGTGATGGAAAATGGAGCAACTGCTTGACAGTTCAGAAGCAGGGGGATCAGTAATCTGACCAGTGCATGGTATGCTTCCAGGTCAGCTGTTGGGCAAGGCAGCAGCTTGCTTTTGAATGTCCCTTTATCTTGGGACCTGTAATCCAGCTGGTTTATACTGATGTTTAGCCTATAGCCTTGTTTATCCACATGCAGATTGTCTGCCTCTCCCCACCTCGAAGCAAAGACTTAATAGCAGAGGCTGTACCAACTGGCCTGTTACCAAGACTCCATTATTTTTGCCAAGCTTACTGTTGAATGCTTACCAGCATATTATGAAGCATTCTCGTAAAGGATTCAAACATGTATAATTGGCAAAAGATATAAACAAAGTATGGTTTGCAAGGCAGTGTTTTTACTTACTAATTTGCAGAATTGGTGGTAGAACCTCTCTCTTGGTAGGATTTTCCCGTGAAGAAGCTAACAAGGCTAATTGCAACCAGAGGGTGACGGAATCTCAAGGATTTTACTCAGAGGAGGAAGGCAGAAATGGCAAAGTGATGGAGTGTGCCCTTGCAGCATGATGGCGTTTGATTACAGCAGTGGGGACTGGCAGTCCCTGGTGGCTTGGGACTGGTGGTCTATGGTTTCAGTCCAACAGAAGGACCTCTTGGGGTTGGGAAGCTGCTGAACTCTGCCTGTGCATGGGAGAGGATGGGAAAAATAGATTAGGGAGGCTCAACACAGAGGTACTGTGCTGGTCCTGTGCGCCGGCGGAGGATGCTCGTCCCTTAGCTCCCACGGAGGATGCAGCGGCTGCAGTCCAGCAGCCCTGGCCGCTCAGCGAGCGCCGGGGTTTCCTCCGGTGCCTGTGCGCCGTGCTGTGCCTTGCAACAAAACAGCACTGAGATGAAACAGAGAAAGCTTTCACAGGCGTTGTGGTTTCAGCTGATTAAAAAGTGCAAGGCTGGAAGGGGGGAGGATATTGCTGTTTGTCTCATCTCTCCTCCCTCTGGCAATTTCTTTCTCTAACTGCAATTTAAAAAGTGCGTTCAGATGTAAAATAGATTTAAGGATTAATGTTTTGAAGAAAATTTTGTTGTTGTGTTGTTTTTCTTTTTTTTTTTTTTTTTTTTTCCCCCCTGAGGTAATTTATTTTTTTTTCAGTTGTTTTGTACACTGTCAGAAATGTGAAAAGTAATATTTAGAGTTAAAAGCAAATAGGAATTATCCTTTCAAATGAGAGATTTTAAGTCTTTCTAAAATTAAAACAAGAAAGAACTTTTCTTAATAGCAGAGGAGGATACAAAAGTGTGGGTGTTGGTGTGAGGGGGAAAATTGTATATTTACCAGGTTTTGGTTTAGTTTAATTTTTTTTCCTCTGAAAGCTTGGGCTAAGCTGTCACGGCAGATTAGAGGAAGTTTTCTTTTGCTGAGATTTTTTTTATGATGTGTTTTTTTGTGCGAAGGGAGGGGTGGTGGTGACTTTTCTTATTTTAAATATTTTTTTTTTATTTGAGCTGTCGCATTTCCAGACTTATTGTCTTTATTGTTCTTGCTGATTCCTAACATGGGGTGACTTGAATCATTTGTCTTGTCTTTCCTTCCTGCCTTTGTGTAGACTTCTTGGCCGTACAGCCGGGAACTGAGTACTTTTATTTTTTTCTCCCTCCCACCACCCCACCCCCCGATTTATTTTTCAGATGTCGGACACTCTCAGGATCACCCAGACCAAAGAACTTTAAGAAGGTTCATTTTATCAAGAACATGCGGCAGCACGATACCAGAAATGGCAGGTACTGTGCATCCAAAGGCTGCTCCTGCAAAGGCAATCCCTGGGGCGCGGGGGAAGGGGAGGGTCAGCATCCCCGTGCAAGAGCGCAGCGTGCCATTGCCACTTACCGCATACCGCCTGCGTAGTAGTGGCCTTTAAAATAGTCGGTGAAAGTGCAGGCTACAAAGCACGCTCCTTCTTCAGGTGAAATACGAGTCAATGGAAGTGCTAGCCCATGGATTTTTAAGATCTCTGTCTCCTTAATACAAATAACTTGCATAAAATGAAAATCAGTCGGAGTAAACTAGGGATAATCTGGTTGCATTTCTTCGAGGGTAGTGCCAGGTGTGAGAGGGGCGCATGGCCGAACCTGCCTGGAGCAAGTTTAGCAGTGGCTGAATGACATTTCAACATCTAGTCGTGGGTGTAAGGGTAGGCACCAGGCTAGCTGGGTTGTCAGGGCTGCCTGTGGCGGCAGGCTTCCTGGACAAGCAACTCAAAAAACCAGCTTCAGGGAGCAGCAGCAGGGACTTCCCTCACTGCAAAGGCACGGTGCCTGTCGTGGTGTTCCCATCGGCAAAATAGGTTCTTTATTGCAGCATCATCCGTCTCAGAAGTGAATTTCCCCACATGCCTCATGATTTTATTTTTGTCCTTCCAAACTTGAATAGGTTTTAACTAGATTACCCTGAACAGGTTGCATGTAGACTAAACCATCCCACTGAGAGTTGACCCTTGCACTTACATGTTCTCATACAACTGCCATGGGTGAGAACCATGTAGGTGCCTGTGGACCGATTTGTGCATGTAGCCTCTGGTTTCCATCAAAAAACATGGAACCAGGTCAATATACGTTGAACCACAGGTTTTATGAACTGAATTCTGGTAGGTGTTTTCCTGACGTTTGTGCTCACACGTATAATTAAATGAAGTGAAAGACAGTAATCAACGTAAATACTGCAGAAGGTGGCCCTGAGAGATGATGGCTTTTTAGAAACAGCTTTTGTAGCAAACAGACGCGTGCAGAACTGTTGACTTAACTGTTGTCTGACTAGCAGCTGATTATTGTCTTTACAACAAATACGTGTGGAATCAAACACTGAAAAGCAGCCCTCTAATTTTAGTCTGTTTTGTGCATAAATATATGTACACTCTGGGAATTTCTTATAGCAAGAAATACTTATTCATAAAGTATTATGCAAATTACACAGACAATGAGTAATTTGTGAGATGCATATTAAAAATACATCCATAAACTTGATGGAAATACTACCTGTGAAAAAATGAAAAATATTTGATTTGTGAGCTCTTTTCTCCATCTGTTGCAAAAAAGTATTTGTAGGATATATCCTAGCATTTTATCTTAGTTTACGTATAAGTCATTACATCTGATAACATAACTGAATATTTTTCTTGCTGAGAAAACAATGAGTAAGCTTCTGTTATTCAACTGGCTTCTTATCTTTATCAGCAGACACAGTTTTCCAGAATATTTCCATAATTGTAATAAAGATCCCTTTATCTAGAACATGGATACAATAAGAATAAGAGACACAGTTTTGAAAATGCTTTTTGTCCTATGGACAAAGAGCTGTAGCAATATTAGCTAAAAATAAAATGCAAAGTCAACACTTTGTGTCGCCCCTCAGGCCAGCTATGTCTAGCAGTAAGTAATCGTACCCTGTTTTTCCAAGGGGTCTGGATGCTGTTGCAGTCACTGAAGTTAATAGACATTTTGGATGAAAAGGGCCTCAGGTAGATCTCATTTATGTATTCTTCGTAAAATCAACAGTTTCTGAATACCTTAAGACCTTGAAAGCTGGTGTCCTCCCTGGTTCGCTGTGACATGGAGGAGCGCAGGTATTGCAATGGATAGAAAACCCTCCTGGGGCTCTTTCCCATGGCGGCTCGTGTGTGCTCGTGCAGGACACAGGCACTGAGCTGGGCTGGAGTCAGGTTCTCTGAGCTCTGACCGAAACCCCTGAGCCTTCTGTCGCAGCGTGTCAGCCTTTCACTTAACTTGAGGAACCCAGCTTTCAAACATCTATACAGAATGTATTTTTGAGTGGTGAATTTGATAACTGGGCTTTAAAATAGCTTGCGCTTTCAATAATTGTTTCACTGGCTTGTGACTGTGAGTGTCACAGCAAAGAAAACTGCAGTGTGGATGATAGCTCAGGGCTCCTTTCTCTGGTAACGACCTTTATTTGCAGCTCTCAACCTGTAAGGTAACATGGCCTTGTCCTGCGGCGCTGTGAGCTCTTCCCCTCGCAGCCCTGGGCAGCGCTGAGCAACGATCCTCTGGGTCCAGCCTTCAGCAGTCCAGCAGTAAGGCAGGACCGGCTGTGGTTAAAATAAGAGTTCAGCTATTTAGCACAGACTGCAGTTTATCAGCTAGTCCTTGTAAAGCTTCCTGTTGATGGTTCTGTGCACTGGTTAAACCAGTTTCTTTGGTTTTGTAGGACATGGCTTATTGAGGGAGCTGGAAAATTAGGTTTCCAAGACTGTGTTGCCAAAGCAGTCTTGTAAAACAGCACAAAATAAATTTTCCCATTAAAAGACAAGTCAGACCTAACATACAAATTAGCACAGGTAGACACCAGCGTGTGGTTTCACCCACTTTACTCAGCAGGTTTATTGGTGGTATTTTCCATAAACTGTGAAGCAGAAGATTCCCTATCTAGCAGAAACAGGCCACCGAAACAGCAACCTGAGCCAGCTGAACAAACAATTCATGGTGAGAATGGGACAAGACTATTTCTAGAGTCATCCTGTATAGCAGATACAAAAGCAGTAAAACAATGCTCCTCTCCCAGCTGCTGCCATCGCTTTCTCAACTTTTGTGTTAGTGCACAGTTCTAAGCCAAGGCCGAACGCCACCCATGGGCCATGAAAGGTCTCTTTCACTGCCCTTTTCACTGTGGAAATGCACACACATGCACTGTAAGAGGCTGACTATTTGCAGTGTCCTCACAGTTCATAATTATTCTCAGCCACCTTCCAATAGCCCCAACATGAACTTGGAAGACTCCGAAATGGTGGCTGCTACCCAGACAGCGTCCACGGGTTGTGTGTTCACCTTTGCACGCAGGGCAGCAAAGCCCCGCTAGTCAAACATCGTCAATCAGGGATGAGAAAACAGGCTGCGGTATTCCTCATGTGTGTGGTACCTGTGATGTGTAGCACGTTGTCTGACTGCAGCCTTTTGGTGACACACGATCAAACCTAGACCAGATGCTAAAGAAAACAAACATTATTCTCCTTCAAGTCAAGTGAATTACTGATTCTGTTGAGAGCCTTGCGCTCAGTCAGGTTTTGTAGTTTCGTAGCATACATCTCATTAAAGCAATTGGAAGATTAGCTTTTACAGTCTCAGACAGGTGCACATTGTAAGACCTCTCTTGCAAAATAATGGTTGCTCTGAATCGTAGTAATTAGTACAACTTCTTGGTGAACTGTGAGAATTAGAGAGTGAAAACCGTTTCATGAAGTAGTTTTAAATATGTCTAGGTGGCACGATGGCAGTCAGGCCAAGTAAACGTGCTCTGACTCAAGCTGCTTCTGATGTCGGACATAGCTCATTCAGAGCTGCACCGGATTGTAGATGCCCTTTGTTGAAGAGCTGAAGTCCAGGAAAATGCTTCTCTTTCAAGCAATAATTCAGTTTTCTTGAACAGCAACAGGCTTCCACCACACCTTGTTCTCCAAAACGTACTTTGTGACAAGTTTTTTGACTTTCTGCTCCAGCAAACCATTGCAGACCCTCCAAATTTTTTTGTTTTCCACGCATCTCATCAGACCTCTAAATAAAATGCTGTTTTATCCCTCTGTGATGAGCTTCTGACCGCTGCCTTCCCTGCTTCTCTTCCAGTCCAGCTCCTAAGGCTGTTTTGCACCAGCCCCCTCCAGCAGCTCTGCAGATGAGGTTTTGTGGCATCCTGGCAGTGGAGGCCGTGGGCCCCTCTCCTGCCCTGCCTGGAGATCTTTACTATGTAAAGAGAGTCACCCAATTTATGGAAAGAGAAGCGATGTTTGGGTACCAAGGGAAAGAAATCTGAAAAAACTAGAGGCTGGGCTGGTGCTTTTTGTTTCCTTTCTGATCTGATTCCTTCTGATACACACAACAAGTTTTCTGTGGTAACTTCCCACTGTTGTCTCTGCTTGTGGACGTGGAAACACCAGTTTGTTTTTCTTTAAGAGTTGGGGTCTTTTTTTTAGGGAGATGTAGGGCGTTGGTGGAAGAGCTGTATTTCCAGAAGCAACCAGAGGAAGTAGGAGAAACGCACTTAGTGGGTACTGTGGTTTTCCGAATTCAGAGATGCTTTCTGATGTCAGCCTTGAAATCTGTGCCAAGTTTCATACATCAGCAAACAAGGCTTCCAGTGAACAAGCAAGCTGTTGTGAGGAGCAACCATTCAGCAATAAGCAGTGGCAAGCACAAAATTAATCATATGCCGTGGGTTTTTTTTGCTTGTGGATTGCTTTTCTCAAATGTGAGAGAAGATTTGCCCGTGCTCTATTACTTACTGCTGCACCATAAGACCATCTTACAGGATCTGAGATATTTAGCATAGGTTAGGGTTGTTATAGCATCCAGGCAAACAATGCAATTGTACTTTATCTGCTGCAGGAGAACTTCCTAATAAAATAATGTTTATTATTAGAAACCCTCCTTTATTAAAGGATAAATACCACTTTGCTTTTAAACGTGCTTTTAAGGAAGAAAACACTATTGCTGTAATAGAATGATCCAAGAGAAGAAAAATTGATCATTCTGTATTTTTCCAAGCATTACATGCAGCAGCTCTCTTGGGGATCTAAACCTCTTCCAAGAATGATGACTAAGCTGGTCTCTTAAGGAAACAGCGTTTCAATAACAGCGTAACTGGTACGAGATTTATACGTACATATGGTGGTTTTATAGCTTGCTAGGGTTTGTTGTCCAGCTTTGACCAGTGTAGGACAAAGGATGAAAATTTTGGGTGAAATCCTCACATAAAGATCTGTGGCACATAATGTCAGAAAAGTCAATGTTGGAGAGCAGAGCAAGGAAGTGCAATAGCCCTGACAGCCAACCTGGCAGTAGGTCCTAGCATTGGAACCACAAGTAGAGATTTTTAGAAAGGTGAAACATCAGTAGATTCTAACGCTAATCAGATCAGAAGATGGCACAAACTGGCATCACCATGTCTTAGAGGAATTTGAGGGGCTTCAGCCTGTTGGCCAACTTCAGAGGGAAGAAGCGTCTTCTTAGTGTACATTGTACGGTTGTCAGTGTCCTGAAGGTAATAGGGA